TTTAATCCACACAGGTATAGTATTCAAAGACCAAAGGCAGCCCTTTTGCAGACCTCTGGGATTCTCTCTGTGTGGGCAGCCCCATCCTCCTGGGTACTCTGACCCTCAAGTCCTAGCAGCCGTGGCTTCTCTGAACTCCACTCTCTGTCTCCAGTGAGTGAGACCCCAGGCTTGGGTGAGTCCCCTTTCCCGTGCTACAGCCCCAAAACTGCCTCTAGGAAGCCAGCCGGGCAACTGTGCTGACACACTCCATTCATTTTCCTTCTATCAGGGATCACAGTCCGGCATCGCCTAATATCTGGTGCCTCAAAACCATTGGTTCCTTCGGAGCCCCTACCAGCATTCAGCCCTGCTTCAGTTATCTCATTAAATCTTCACAACACCGTAGAAATCAGACTATTATTTTAAAGACCAGCAGCCAGCTAACTTCCCCAGAGTCAGATAGCTGCCAAGGTCTTGGCCACCATGTCTGATTGATTCTATGACAACTATCCTGCACCGCTGGAGGACCTTGAGGTTCATGGATGGGGCACCATGAGAGCATCAAGGCTCCAAGGGCAAGGCCTCGGCTGCCTTGCTACCCAGATCCAGGGCTCCTTTGATTTCAGGACACTCCGTCTCCTGCAGGTGTCCTGGCCCCCAGCTCCAGAACTCATTTCTTTGTGTACTCAGTGTGGGAAGGACTGCTGGTGTGCATTTATATTCGTAGTGACATTTGCCCACAAGGCACATTGGTGTAGCAGGGCAGCATCCTCTACTGAACAACATATTTGCTTTGCAGAGCTGGTTGAAGTTTAACACCAAGGTCTGCCTTCACGGAGAATTCTGAGCAGTGCACCTGGGGGGCAAGGCAGAGGCTGAGCTATCTAAGTGAGGCCAGTCCAGGCTACTGTTTCTCAAGTTGGGTTTTAAATCTCAAGCCCTTCCTTTCCCCCGTTTTGACTTTATTTTATAAAAAATTTCAAACATATAAAAAAAGTAGAGGTGAAACACTCATAGACCTATCACCTAGATTGAACAATTTCATCTTTTTTTGCAGTATTTTGTCTTATTTTTAAAAAAGATTTTATTTACTTATTTGAGAGAGAGAGAGAGAGCATGAGCGGGGAGGAGGGGAGGAGGAGAGGCAGAGGCAGAAGCAGGCTCCCCGCTGAGGAGGGAGCCCCGATCCCAGGACCCTGAGATCATGACCTGAGCTGAAGGCAGACGCTTAACCAACTGAGCCACCCAGGCGTCCCTTTTTGCAGTATTTTAAAGTAGGTGATGAACACAATGACAGTTCACTTCTAAACACTTCAGCATATATCTCAAAAATACAAGGGCATTTTTCAACATAACCACAATACCATGATCACATCTAGCAAAATAAATAATAATTTAAAAGTATCACCTGAGACTGGTTCATAGTTAAAACCGCTCTTGTCTTTAACATCTTTTAGAGTGCTTTTTTAAAAGTAGTATGCCATCAACGGTCATATTTCTTAAGTCTTTCAAAATCTAGAATGGTTCTTTCCTATCTACCCATTTTTTTCCCCATAATATTTTCACCTATTGACGACACCAGACCAGCGTTCTATAGAAGGTCCCACCTTCTATCTTTGTCTGACTATATTTCATGTCATGTCATTTAACTTGTTTCTTGATCGTCTCTGTAAACTGAAGTTTAGGTGTAAAGTCCTGAATATACCTTTTCTGTGCTATGTGCTATGAATATACCTATTTCTTGTGCACTGTGACCACATGCCTGGTCATCTAATACAATGTGGATATCTGCCACTGGCTCAAAGGGGCAGCAACTAGATGCCTCACTGCAAGACCACGTTCCTCCCCTTTCAAGTGACAAGCAGTCTGTGGTCAAGCCCCTGTTGAATTGCATCAAACCCCCACATCCAGGTCCTGTTCTCATCTGTATCGCCCACCGCAAATAAGTATTTCCCCCTAATCACTGTGCTTTCTGGCATCCCCACTGGGCAAGATTTTGCTAAATATACCTCCTGAGTTTGTACTGTAAATATGGAAATTTTTTTCAAAGTAAAGACAATTTTAAGTTTCAAAATTGAGAACTGTAATATAGATTATGACATTTCATGGCTCCATCTCAAGATTCTGCCATATGTTGAGGAGGTCACTAGTCTGAACTCCCACTGATGCTTAGGACTGGGACATCTAGGAACTCCAGTGCTCTTGGGCAGATCACACCTACAAGCCCAGCACAGACCTAAGTCCTGCATGAGGCCTGGCAGGTATGGCTGAGATCCGTGGCCCAGGCATGCAGACTCAGGAGTTAAAAATGCCAACTGGCCCCAACATGCAGGGCTCCTGGAACTGGAGGTGTAGTCAGTCCCAAGCTCATGTAACCACAGGGCAAGGAGCCAGGGCCATGGACTTGACTTAGAACCACAAGATGAGACCACTGCTGGAATCAGCCCGGGAATGCTGACAAACCTCAGAGCTGCAAGAACTGTGGCCACATGTACAACATCTCAGCCAAGCTCGGGCACACTTTGCAAGAATGGGACCAAGGCCTCCGTGTCTCAAACACATGGTCCATGGTCCATCTGGAGTTCTCCAGTTCTGATTTAGAGATTCATTTATATGACAGTCTTACAAAAATATACAATTATGTATTTATTTATATATTCAGTGGGTCACCTTTATCAGAGCACAAGTGGCCACTGTTCTAGAAAATGTGAACCATGAGGTTATCAGACAGAGAACCCGGAGGCAGCATCAGAGGAGGAAGCCAACCATAGTTACGGTGCCTTATGTACGTAGTCACATATTCTCCTGTGATCCTCAGGAGAGCCTCATGAGGTTGGTACTATTACGCCTAGTTTCTATGTGGGAAGATCAGAACCCTAAGGCTCAGAACAGAAGAATGACCAGAAATGGAAGGGAAATGGCTAGCTCAGGCCTCCTGGGTCTGCGTGACTCTGAAGCCCCTGGTCTTTCACTTACAACACCCATCTTCCCCAATGTATAGCCACACAAGCAGAATTGAAATTAAGCATAAAAGAGAAGGTAAGTATCACCAAAATTTGTTTACCAGGTTTTCTTTGCAGAATCAGAATTACGAGCAAGACTCTTCGTCTGCAGACTCATTTGGTGTCCCTTTCTCATTTTTCCCTATGCTTTGGTCTTTCAGTTCCTTGAGGGACGTGTTCCCTTCTACCCCAGGGACTTTGTACATGATGTTTCCGCAGCCGTTCACCTAGTGAGTTTCTGCTTGTCCTTAAATATTGGGTTTATGTTGCTTTCTCAGGGAAGCCCTTCCTGACCTGGAGGAGCCAGGCCACCATGTCACTTGTCTTGGGGCACCCTCCTGCTCCTGTCCAGTCCCTTCACGGTTGCTTCTCTTGCAAGTGGTCAGGGTCACCGGGCCATGGGTTCAGGGTCTGAGCCCCCGAGGTTTCTAATTTCCACAGAAGGCTTTAAGTGCGTGCATGAAGCCACATGTGATTGGAGCCCAGGCCCCTTTCCTCTGTGGGACTGAAGTTCTTTATTAGTAGAATAAGGCCTGTAACTTTCTATGAACCTGTGGTTGATAGCCCATGAACTCTCAAGTCACACCTTACCCTCTTGTATGCAGCAGGTTCTCTCATACCCACGCAGACTGAAAGGCTCCTAGGGCGTTCCAAAGCGTACTTAATCTGCATTCTGGATGGAATGCTGAGGCTTCCCTGGCTCAGAGTGGCCCCAAGGGCAGGCAAGGGCATTCTCTATACTGAGGAACAATGGCCCACCTGGCCTTCCCTAGGCCCTACTAGCTCCCTTCCCAGCCCTGCCGCCCAGTGCCCTTCCTACCCCATGGAGCCTTTCATCGTTTTTTACCTGCCTTCCTCCAGTTCTTGAGGGCTCCCAGCCCTACTGCCATTGTCACTGGGGGCATGAGAGAGGACAGCCACTTAATATTATTCCGAATTGACTCCACTTACTGAGCATTCTGAGATTTCTCCTTCCTCCTTTTCTTGGTTTTAAACTCTTACTCCTTTCTGACATTATGGTAAGAATACATAGATGTGTGTGTTGTGTTAAGTTTTTCCTTGGAGAATTCTGAAGCGCCAGTGTACCTGGTGTGGAAACCCCGAGGGTCTGAGAACTCACCTACAGGGCGAAGACCACGTTCCAGGGAACCCCCGCGCGTCTGTTCCACGCCTGGCCTGAGCCTTCCTTTCCCAGCTCGCTCCTCTCCCCACTTCCTCTCTTCCCCTCCTTCACACACTCTGAGTCCTACTGAACTAGCAGAAGTTTCTGCGAGCCCGAGGAGGATGAAGTCCCTGGGCCTCGGCGGGGCTTTTCTTGCCTCTCCCTCCCGGCTTCTCGGGGTAACTGCCCTCATTCAACACTCAAGCGAGAGGTCACTTCCCCGGGAAGCACTCCCTGACCAGCACCGCACCACCCCTTCCTGCCCACCCGCCCTGGGCGTCCCCGCCCAGGCACGGAGAGCTAACCCATCAACGTGGAGGTACTCTGCTCCGCACCTCCTCGCCCCGCACCAGCGGCTAGGTGCTCAGTTAAAGTCTGTCTCCCTAGTGAGAGGACCACGTGCTCGGGCAGGCTCCGTCCGGGGAACCTCCGGGTTTGCTCCGCTCCAGGACGCCCTACACCAAGGCGGAACCCGACTCCGCCGTCTGAGCCCCGTGCCGTGCAAACCCCAAGCTTCATACGTCTCCTAGAGCCCCCCTCGCCCCCCTCCGCCCAGGGCGCCCCCCTCTCATCGTGGGACAGCCGGGGGCCCGGGGACTCCGCGCAGAGGGAGCGGCCGCCGTCCCGCGGCACTGTCCCCCGGGGGGGGGGGTGTCGTCCCGCGGGCCGTGCGCGGGAGACACAGGCTGCGGCGCGCGGTGCCAGACGCAGGGGCAGTGCTCACAGGCCCCGGGCCGGCCCGCCTCTCGCCGGCGCTCCCGGCCTTTCCCATCCGGCCCGCGACGCTCCGCCCGCCCCGTCCCACATGACACCGCCTCCGCCGCAAACTTTTTCCTCCTCATCCTGTCGCGGCTCGAAAGGAATGGAAAATGGCGGCCTAGGCGCGGAGTTTCCTGCCCGAGCGGCGGCGGCGGCTCTCGCGGCGGCGCCATGACGCGCTGGGTGCCCACCAAGAGAGAGGAGAAATACGGCGTGGGTGAGCTCCGCGCGCCCCACTCCGCGCCCGG